AATTTTATTTTAAAAAAAAAAAAAGTTGTCCATAAACTTTTGTCCATCCTCTGTATCTCTTAATGATACTGATAAATTACGTTATTGTATTAATAAAATACAAAAAGAAAAACATTCATTTGGACAAGATTTATTAGATGTTATTTATAATTTTTCCCGAAATATCAATAATATTCAAGAATATATTTAACAATTAAGTATATAATTTTATTTTATATAATTTTATTTATTTATTTAATTTATATAATTAATTTAATTATTATTTTAAATAAGATTTTTTTAATGACGGTCATATAATGATTGTTTGTACTACTCAAGTACAAATAGAAAAATGGATTAAATGTGATTATTTTAAAATTAATTTATCTTTTAAAAGAATTGCTGGAGAAATCAATGAATTTGAAATAAATTATTATGACAAAAATTATAATACATGTAAGTAATTATTTTATTAGTTTTAACATTTGCACGAGTTTTTACAAATCAAGCAACAGCAAGTACATATCAATGAATATTCAAATCACTTTTTAATATTATTGAATCATTTACTGGTGAATTACCCAAATTTAAACATATTAATAGAGAAGGATGGAATTGCATAATTGGTGATCTTGATACGGCACAGGCTATTGGATTAGGTGAAACATTGGCTTTAATAAATAATACTTATAATTGGGAGGAACATTTAATACATATATTTAAATCTTGTCAAGTTCATTATAAACAGTAAGAAATAATAATATATTTATTAAATAGAAAATTACATGAAAAACAATTTAATAGTATTATTAAAAATTATATGGAATCTTTATTAACGGTACCGACCGAAAAAATTGAATTTATTTTTAATAAATTATTAGAAATCGATAATAATCTTACAGGTAAATACTTTATATATTTATAATATAATTAATTTTTTAAAAACAAAATCTAATCTATTATATTAATTAGATTGGGTTCAATATTATCGAAAACCTTATGTTATTGCATCATTGAATCCATATGTGTCAAAATTTTCATATAATTCTTGGCATGCCGCACCCAATAATACAAATTGCGCAGAAGCAGCACATGCTATGAGTAATCGTGAAGGAAAACAATTAAAATTAATGACAGCTATTTTAAGGTTATTTATTTATTTATTTATTATAAATTTGTTTAATAATTTTTTGTTTAATTTAATTTAATTTATTTATTTAGAGGACAAAAATTAGATATGCGCAATTTTAAAAGAATTGAAATAAAAAAAATTTTTAATATAAATCTTAATGGTCATGACAAAAGTGGAATTGCACGTAAAAAATTAGCAATTAAACGAAGCGGTTAGTATATTTTTATTAAATAATTTTATAATAATTTATTTATTTAGTATTAATTATAAATGTATTTAATAGTTAAACGATCTTCTAAAACTGCTAATCCAAAGAAACGCCAACAACTAACTATGCAAACAAGTAATAAAAAACCATGCAAGTTACCGAAAGTTGATTTAACAAATACAGAAAAAGAAAACACCCATGAATTGCCAATGACGTTAATGGAAAAATTAGAGTATGAAGAACGTATGCTGATAATTGCAGAACGAAAAGAAAAATTAAGAGAATTACGAATAGCTAATACTATTAAGGAACGTGAATTAGGTCTTGAATGAAAAGATTAATATGTATTAGAAATCTGTAATTAGTTTTTTAATACAAAAGAGATAATTCTTTTAATATAATTATAAATAATATCAAATTACAAAAAAATTTCTTTTCAAGAATCTCCACATAAATTTTTTTAAATAGAAAGTATACTACGTATAAAATTATATAATACGTGTATACAAAATACTATAATGATTATGTATTTTGTTATACGTAATTGTATATTATACGCTTTTTTATTTTTACTATCATACGCTACTTCTTTTATATATCCGACTATACTACTATTCGCAACACCGATTGAAATTCTATTATAAAACATACCATTTACCTTAAAAGTTAAATTTTCGGTCTTGAATGTATGATATTAAAAAGTCGCCCTGTTAAGACTTGGAATTTTTGGGCTGTGGAAGATTTTCAAAATCAAGAAGTCGACTTGTACGAAGAAGTTGACTTGTCTGATTTTGTTCACTTGTAAGACTAGTTGATTGACGTGTCTGATTCACCTTACTTGCATTAATTCGCTTAGCAATTTCAGAATTGGAGCTAAAGTTTTTCCATACATTTAAAATTTTACTTGTAAGACTAGTTTATTGACGTGTCTGATTCACCTTGCATTAATTTGCTTAGCAAGTTCGGAATTGGAGCTAAAGTTTTTCCAAGTATTTAAAATTTTACTCAAATCTTTTGCAGCAAGTCGTTTTACTGGATCAGCATCCCAGCATTTTTCTATTAATTCAACTATTAATGAGGGCAGACCTTGAATTTCTGGGCGCTCTCCCTCACAAATTTTAATTGCAAGTGTTTTGCTTTCTTCCTTATTGTCACAATTAACATCTTTAAAAGGAGAAATTCCAGAAAATACTTCGTACATAATCATCCCGAATGAATAAATATCTGCAGCCTTAGTATGTATCTTATTACGCAAAACCTCAGGCGCTACATAAGGAAGAACTCCGTATAGTTCGTCATCTCTCTCTTTAGA